ACTAAAATCAATGCTAGAATTAAGCCTAGAATTAAGGCTAGAATCAAGGCTACAATCAAGCCAAGACAAGGCTACAATCAAGCCAAGAAGTCCCCCAAGCCCCCAGAAAGGGTAACAAACCGGCCTAGATCAGCCTAAGATTAATGCAACATGGGATTACATGGTTATAAAGTATTAGTAAAATGCTACACCCCCTCAAACGAACCAAATGGTATAGTGGATGCCAGCTTGAGGTTTGATAAAGTGAAAGCTTAAAAAACGAGCGGAAAGAATGAGTTTTAAGTGAAGAATATCGCCCTTCTTGATCAGCAGAGGAAGATAGGGAATCAGAAGTATAAGTGCCTGAGTAATCATGATGACGAACAAGAAACGGACGACTCTATCCAATGTTTTTGTGCGTTCTACCAGATAAAAAAAGAGTGTAGTAGCAACTCTATTAGTGTCAGCAATGGTATACACCAGTATGCAGATGACTGTGATGAACATTTCAATATCAAGATAACAACCATCGTTAACCAAAAGTATTCAGAGTAAGCATCAAGCAATGGCACGAATACTGCAGATTCAGTGCTAGAAGACAACAACCGGTTTGCCTTTGCTACGCCAAAGAAAGAAATCGCCCAGAAACATACGCAGTAGTAAACACGACGGATCTGTGGATCACCAGCCAGTAGCACTCAGAATACCCAGACAATGCCAAAGAGGAGTGTGCAGGAAATGTAACATTGAAGAGAGTGCCTTTAGATTATAATCGAGAAGTTCGAAGTACGGCAGAAAATGTGAGAACAGGGGCCAAGACATGAATTGACTAACCAAATGAACAGCATATGAGAGATCAGGTCGAGTCCAACAGTGAGACAACAAGACATCCCAACAAGTTGTCGATATAAACGTAGATCATCGAGAGGAGTGGCCAATCGAGAAGGCGAGTAAGGCTTAGCAAGAGTGAATTCCAAAGATTGATACAGTCTTAGGCTCAAGTTAATATCTGACCAGCCCGGAGAAAGTACAATCAGAGGTCATTATAGTGGTGTGACGATAAAGATAGTTAGTTTCGTCAGTGAGTTGAGTGAAGAACCTCTTGATAAAAACTGAAGAGAGCCAAGGTACTTCATGTTCGAAAATGCGGACGAGATATGTTTCGTGTAATTTTGAGATACCAGAGGCATCATCACCTGTTATTATCATATCATCAAGCCATAAAGCAGGAGAAGAACAATAACCATGGTCAGTCCGACGAATGAACAATGCAGAATCATAAGGACTAGAGGCAAAACCAAGTTGAGCAAGAGTGGAACTAAATTTGGCGAACCAGGCCCTAGGAGCTTGTTTTAAACCATACAAGGCTCGTCGGAGCTTACAGACTTTAGAATGAGAATCATAACTAGGGGGAGGATGCATATAAACTTCATCGGATAAATCACCATGAAGGAAAGCATTTTTGACATCCATCTGGAAAAGTGTCCAGTGACGAACCGCAGTTATAGCTAATAGAGTACGAATAGATGTTAATCGAGCCACTGGAGCAAAGGTTTCTTCGTAGTCTATACCATATTCTTGAGTATATCCTTTGGCTACTAAACGAGCTTTATAACGCTCAATAGACCCATCAGAACGAATCTTAATTTTATAAATCCATTTGCAGCCAATAGGTGTCTTATCAGGAGGAAGATCAACTAAGTCCCAAGTATGAGTGTTTCTAAAGCTTGGAGTTCCTCAGTCATAGCTTGCTGCCAATGAGGGTTAGTACTTGCCTCACGATAAGAGTGAGGCTCATGAAGAGTGGCAATAGTAGAATAACAATGACAATCTTTAAGGTGATGTGGAATTTCTCTTACCCGGGTAGAACGACGAAGATTGGTGTCAAGGGCAGGCGTAGGTGCAGGTTCAGGATCAGCAGTTGAAGCAGATTCGATAGGAAGAGGTGGGGAGGGTCGAATGTTGAGTGTATTAGAGTCACTTATATCAGAACTTGGAAACAATTCAATTGAGGGATCAGTGAAAAACATAGAATCAGTATTAACAGATTTATGAAATTTAGAAAGGGTTGAAAACATGGTATTTTCCCAGAAGGTAACATGACGAGAGATACGCAATTTATTTGAAATAGGATCCCAACAAACGATACCCTTTGTGTTCTATCCCATACCCAAGAAAACAACACAACCATGCACGTGGTTCCAATTTTGTATGTTCATGGGGTGGTAAAAGGACAAAACAGGCACATCCAAAAGGTTTGAGGACGAAATAGTCAGGAGGTTTACCAAACAAATTTTCAAAGGGTGATAAATTTTGGAGAGCTGATGAAGGAACTCTATTTTTACTGTAGACGGCAGTAAGAGCCGCTTCTCCCTAAAATTTTTCTGGACATGAGGCAGAAAGAAGAAGAGCACGGACAGAATCAAGAATCTGATGGTGTTTTCATTCAGCGCGTCCATTTTGTTGGGAAGTATAAGGACATGAGCGTTGAACGACAGTGCCTTGTTGACTAAGGAATTGAAGTAGCATTATCTGTTCGAAGAATTTTAATAACAGAAGAAAATTGAGTTTTAATCATATTAGCAAATGAAATGTAAATTTGTGGTAATTCAGATCGATGTTTCATAAAAAATATCCATATAAAACGAGAATAATCATCAACAAACAACATTCATAATAAAAAATATCCATGTAAAACGAGAATAATCATCAATAAACAACACAAAATAACAAAAACCATTTACTGAAGAAGTGGGGGCAGGCCCCCAAATGTCAGAATGAATTAAGTCAAAAGAACAGTGTGAAATAGAAACACTATTATTAAAAGATAAGGCAGGTTGTTTTGCAAGTTGACAATGTAAACAGTTAAATGATTCAAACTTTGTAGATCCTAACAATCCAGTAGAAATTAAAGGCTGAATTTTGCTACCTGAAGCATGACCAAGACGGAGATGCCATTGGTGAATAGAAGAGTTGGTGGTTGTAGCAGCAAAAAGAACTTTTTGGGGAAGATGAAGAGATTCAAGCTCAAATAATCGACCCACCCTGCAACCCTTCCCTAGAATCTGTCTCGGTTGTGGATCCTGAACCTGACAACCAAAAGGAGAAAAGTTGACATTTAGACCTGCTTCACATAACTGACCAACAGAGATAAGATTAAGGGCCAAGTTAGGAATATAGTAGGTTTCAGGAAGACTAAGATTTATGACCAGTGTGAGTAATATAATATTCATTTGACTACCATTAGCAGTATGAATTGGTGGCAAGAAAGAGACAGGTGTGGTAGAAGACAAAAGGTTAATATCAGTCGTCATATGATTACAACATGCAGAATCAAAAAGCCAACAAGATTTACCCTGGGTAACAGACATGGCAGCAGGAGAATTGGAAGATATAACCTGTTTGAGTACTGCCTCAATATCACCTATGGTGAGAGTAGGAGAACATTCAGTGGCAGCAGCAGTGACTGATTTAAATCCAGGGTTCGAAAAATTCTTGGATTTAGAGACCCCACTCTTTTGTCGTGGAGGACGAGTTGGGCAATTTTCAAGAATATGACCAAGAGCATGACAATATCTGCATTCAACAGTAGGACAATTAGCAAAGACATGACCCATGTTATTACAATTCTTACAGATGTGGCTGCCACATTTTTGAAAGGATGGACGAGTAGTAGCAAGAGCTATTTTAGAATTCTGAGTTTTGTCAAGATTAAGGCGAGTTTCCTAAAAAATGATTTCTTATATAGCCATATCCAATGTAGGATGAGGGTGTCGATGTAGTAGAGAGGCTATGACAGTTTCATATTCAGGTCGAAGAGCCATGAGAACTTGAATAAGATGAAGATGATCTTCACTGATTTTTGCTTGAGATATTTGATTCCAAATCGGTTGAACTTGAGAGCAAGAAAATCATTCACAGATTGGCCATATTCTTGTTTGAGATTATGAAGAGTAGTCCACAATTGAAAATAATGAGCAAGTCTAGTAGTTTGATATCGATTGGCTAAGAAATCCCATATTTCTTTTGCAGTGTCATAATTAGCAAATTGGATGTGAATAGATGGAACAGAACTATTACGAAACCAAGTAATAATCTGATGATTTTTACTATCCCAATCTTCAAGGCGATCAGCAAATTTGACTTCAATTTAATCTTGCTGTTTGGTTGGCTTTATTACATCTCCATTAACAATACGCCAAAGCTTAGGACCGATCAAAAAACTTTTCATTCCTTGGACCCACAAATTATAGTTTGAGCCAGTCAAAATGTTTACAATGGGTTTTGCAATCTCAGATGTCTCCATTTAAGAGTGAGGCCAAATAGAAAAGGAATCACAAATGTTGAAATAGAAAAAATTATATATATATCAACAAAATAACAGGATAACATACAAATAAAGCAACAAAAGTTCACAATAACAAATTCAACAAAATGTAGTGTGGGTTCCTACAACCTTAACCTGGGATCCCCAGAATTAAGTCAGAGTGTGGAGGGAGAAGAGAAAGGTGCCGTCAACACGGACTTAGAATATAGCAAATTTAAACAATTTTATTTATATACAAAACTTTAATACAATATTTATACTTACAAAGGGTTTTACAAGCAAACTTTCTTCAAACTTTGAATGCTTACAAATGAACTGAGAATGGAAGGGGAGAGAGGGATTTCTAATAAAGGTAGATGTAAAATTGCAACGATGCCTTCACAAGGGGAAAAGCTCCCTTTATATAGAAAAATTAAGAATCTGTACTACTTGCCTTTTACTGTTGATGAATAGTGCTTGGTCTGCCACCGAATCTTGACCTTTACTGTGGATGAACAGTGGTTGGTCTGCCACCGAATCTTGACCTTTACTGTAGATAAACAGTGGTTGACCTTTACTGTGGATGAATAGTGCTTGGTCTGCCACCGAATCTTGACTTTTACTGTTGATATAGTAACCTGGCTTCTACTGTGGAAATAGTAGCTTGGCCTTTACTGTTGAAAAAAGAGTCAAGCCTAAGATTATGCTAACATGGGATTACATGGTATTAAATATTATGTATTATGTATGCTAACAAGATCGACCAAATGATGCAAATGAGCTTGAAAATGGTGGAAACAACGGCCATAATTTGCAAAAGTATAGTGTTGCATCAATAAGAGAAGCAACGAATTTCTTCTCATTGCAAAATAAACTTGGAGAAGGTGGTTTCGGACCTGTTTACAAGGTAACATTATCTTTTGAAATTATATATTAAGAACAGTGTCAACTGTGATTGTCATCTTTCCGAGAGAGAATAAATTGTTGGAATTAATGTATAGGGAAATCTGGTAGATGGGCAGCAAATAGCAGTAAAGAGACTATCTAAAAGATCAGGGCAAGGGTTGATAGAGTTCAAAACTGAGCTTATACTCATTGCAACTACAACACATGAATCTTGGAAGACTATTAGGCATCTGCATCCAAGGGAAAGAAAGATTATTGATTTATTAGTACATGCCGAATAAAAGTCTGGACACCTTCATCTTTGGTATGGAAGCTTTCACTTGTTTCTTTTTTTTGGTATATCCCTTGATCTTTAGAACATAAAGGTTTTTTTACCCTCTCAACAAAATCCAATTCCTGGATATCTAACTTGTGTTCTCACCCTTATTTGGGATTGAATGAGGTTACTTACAACCCAACCAACACCTTGTTTGTCAAGCTTTCACTTTTTTCAGTAGAAGAAGCGAATATCTACACTTAATTGTTGTTTACTCTGATTTTTTTCAAACTTATTAATTATTAGCTTTGATATTTTCTTTATGAACTGTTGCAGTGGTTACATGTCTCCAGAGTATGCCATGGAAGGCATTTTCTCTGTCAAATCTGATGTTTATAGTGTTGGAGTTTTAATGCTCGAAATTATAAGTGGTAAAAGAAATCACAGCTCTTATAATTGTGATCGTCCACTCAATCTCGTGGGTTATGTAAGTTTAATCTTTGTTTCTTTATTAGTATTTTCATATTTAGATGCATCATTCTAATTGAAGAGAACTCTATCTCAGGCCTGGGAGCAGTGGAAAGGAGGCAGATCAGAAGAAATAGTTGATCCAATAATAAGTGATTCAGCACCAAAAGACCAAGTTTTAAGATGCATTAGTGTGGCTTTGCTATGTGTAGAACAGAATCCATTGGATAGGCTTACCATGCCAGATGTTTTATCTATGTTAGCTAGTGATGTTCAACTGGCAATGCCCAAGCAGCCTGCATTTTATATTGGAACATCCACTGCAACAACAGGTGGGACAAATACCAACGACTTGCGAGAACATTTCTCAGCAAATGGCTTGTCCTTGACCAACATGGTTGGCCGATAAATCTTGCTTAACTATTGTCATCTTTTTTTTTTTTTCCTCTCTCTTTATGCTCTTATATGCAGCTTAATTGCATATAGTTAATTCAATCGTTGAGGTTGAAAATGTCATTGCAACCAAAAAGAAAATGAAATACAAACAAGATAATTCCCAATTCGAAATTTCCCAGAAACATTTGATTAACCCAGATGAGATTTTTGATTGGCCACCCATATAGACAAGAAAGCATGACTTGATGGGGTGGCAATGATTCACAATAGAAAAATTGAAAAGAACTTTGACTTTGCATTTTGAGTCCGTCTGTCTGCTTTCCTTTTCCTTCCTTACGCACAATTAGAGTCCTCATCGGCAATATAGAGGGCTATATAAGATTGAAGGCCATCAAAACCGAATTTGCTTAAGCTATTATAGTAGAGGTGAGCCCAAATCAAGCCCACAACAATTTTGAACCAGCACTCCGGCCCATGTTTTGAGAGACGATGTATCTGTCTCGCTCACTTAAGCTTCCAGCTAAACCGACAAGAAATACGAAAATTACTTTCCTAACCTAGTAATTTATAGTACGGGGCACAACCATAAACCAAGTAAATAAATAAGCCTATATATCAGAATAGATGCACATCAAGACAGAGTCTAATGGTAATTGCATTTACAATCTGACTATAGATTAAATTTGAATCTTCTTCTCCTAGTACTTAAAGAACCAGTCACTCAATCTTTATAAGTTTAATTTTTTAAAGCTGACTAATTAATTTGGTTTTATGATTTTAAAATATGATTATAAATCTGAACATCTTAATATAAAGCACTAAACTTTTATATTTTAGCTTACCCTCATTATTGAATAATTAATAATAAAAATAAGATTTTAATAGCCTTTGAATATTACTTTTTTTTTTTGTCTTAAACCACAGGTATGCCAGCTCACTAAACTATAACTAAATCATGAATGTTTGCTCTATCCATGAATTCATGGATTAAAAAATTATATTCACATTTTGTGTATAGCACATTTATAGATTAAAAAATATTATATATTAGATATGTAATTAAAATAATAAAAAAATTATTTATTTATTTTTAATAATAATTTGACTATATTAGCAATGCAAAAAATTACAAGAATTAGAATTTCTTTTCGTTCTTAAATTATTGATCATATGAAAACCAAATATATAGTTGAAATAAAATTTTATTTTATTAGTTTAATTTTCATGCTATACTTTGAGATTTTTTAATAAGTAACAATAATTTATGATCTGATTCAACATTAATTGAATACACTAATGAAATTATTTTTATAATTTTTCTTTTAAATTTTTTTTTGAGAAGAAATCAAACTAGTATTATTTTTAATTTTTATCCATGTAACATATGATGATTAAAAGTTGTGGAAAAAAAAAATTTACTTGCAATTACATGCTCAATTGCAACTGAGGTTATTATTGCTATAAAAGGTTGAAATTGAGGTGAAATTGTAAAATCCTTCAAATCTTAGGGTACTTTTAATATATTAAACAAATAACTATTATTTCAAAAATTTGCAATACTCTCATTTGTCTTATATCTCTTCATTATTGGTTTAATACATAGATAGTATACACTAGATGCAAGTAAGATTTATTATAATAAATAATTCTCTTTAGTTATTATTCATTATAAAAAAAATGTAAATTTTTACCCTTCTATAATAAAATTAGACATTTTAGTAAATTGGCAATTTTATTTTAATTCTAGGGCCATTAATTTTTAGAATAATAAATGGAAAAATATTTGCGTATGGTATTTCCATTAAGTAATTTTATGAGATTGACGTAACTTATAAGTAGGTTTATATATATTAAAAGCTGGTGAGCATTTTTTTTTTTCAATTAATACTATACTAAGGTCTAGTCTCTATAATCTAAAAAGTATTCAATTGAACATGTAAAATCATTACCTAACATCAAATACAAAATTGTAGTCAAATCCATTGCATTTAATTTATGATAACGTGATTTCACCAAAAGTAATTACAAAGATAGAATTTCACCTAATTTTTTCCGTTCAAAATGGTAATACTAAACCGGGATTAAATTCAGTTATATTTATTAGATTAATATCGAGCAAATCTCGAGGGTTGGAATGAGACGGTAGGAATTTATTCTCCCTTAATCAGATGTTTCAAGTTCGAGTTATAGATATGAAGTCCTTTTAAATACTTAGAAGGAAGTGTTTTGCCCTCTTTACAGACTTGTTCAACAGAAATCTGAATTAGTCGTGCCGATAGACTTCGGATGCGGACGATTAAAATCAAAAAATAAATGTGGAGTGAACATAAGAGGGTGGGGAAGCAGGCAGAGAATCAATCACGTACGCCTTGTGCCGGTTTTGGTTTGTTTAAGGAAGAAAGGGCACAAAACAATATATAGCACGTTTATCAACAACTTGTAACGGACTCCATATATGGGTGTGCGGTTGTAGAATTTCCATTTTCCAACCTTTGTAAAAGTAAGTTGATGCATATTTTGATTGACGTGCAAAAGAATGTTAGCTGAATATTGTATTTGGCACGCTACCCACAATTCTCATCTCTTGCATTTGCATGTTACTTTCTAGCAACAGAATTAGGTTTCTCATGTGATTTTGGAACTTTTACTTATTTCCCATGTGCTAATACATGGATATCCGCGTTTTAAACATAGTTTGACATTCACATTATAATAATAATCTGGTTTTGGATTTGCTGATTTCAGTTTCAAATCCTATTTCCAGTTTAGCTAGTGTGTTTCTTTTCTTTAATTTCTCTTTTGTTGGAATTGGCCCCAAACCGTTAAGATACGAATTTAATGTGGTAGAAATCAAAATCAGGTTCTATCTTCCAGTTTCAGTGTAATTCAAAAATTGGAACTCTTATTGATTTCAATTTGTTGTTTTATCAATTCGATTTCAATCTAATTCCAGTTCAAACTCTTTTAAAGAGTTGTTAATTTTATCTTATTAATGAATAATTCCAGTTCAAAATAAGTTACGATTCATATATGAATAATTAAAGTCATTAATTATAAACTATAAATTAATATTATAACTATAAACAAAGTCGTTAAATGAATCATAAACCAATATTATTTTCATACATAAATTATAGTAAAAGAACTTCCATATCTACTGTAATTGCAACTTGCAACGCCGGGCTCCAAACAATGTGCTCGAAAGGCCGCAGGCTCAAGCAAGAACAAGTTCTAACAGCAATCCTTCTTACTTTTTTACTGTGCTTTAATCTATTGATATTTTACAAGCAGCTAGAGGGTTGAATGAAACCAGTAGCGGTTCCATCTGCATTGTTACAAGAAGCATCAGCTGGCCGATTGTTGTAGGTTAGCTTCACGTCTTGCAATTTAATCCCACTGCATGGATACTTTTTACTGCAGTCAAATTTTACTGCAACTTCTGTTGCCGATGTTCCGTGAATATCTTGATATGTCACGTCGCTAATTTTAACTCCAGATTGCTGCTTGATACAAAATTAATAAATTTTCAGCTATGAAATAAATATTGATATTATCACAATAATTTTATTAAAAAAAAAAAAAAAAGAAATCTTTTACTTAAACATACCTGACCAGGACAATTTATGTTATCAGGACAGTAATTTTGGTCAATGACAATAGGATTTTGGACATTGGTCATAATAGCATGTTGAAAAAGTACTTTTCTTACAAATCCATTGCTGGGTCTCCCCCAAGTCTTTATTCTCACCCCATTTTGAGTACCGGTAAATGTAACGGTTTTAACTGTCACATTTTGTACACCAGGCTCTTGGAGGTCTTTGCCCAAACTGCCGATACTGAATAAGAATAAATATTAATTAAGTGAATTTCAAAAACTTAATTAGCACATAATACTAAATTAAACTAATTAGTATACCTGATTCCATGGCCAGGGCCACATGCTACTTTTTCGATCCACAAGTCAGTGGTACCAGGTCCGACTGATACACAATCATCACCAGTTCTAATTCTGGAATTCAAGATTGTGACACTGTTTGAATATTGTACATGAATTCCGTCGGTATTAGGACTCTGGCCAGAGGCGGAGACCTTAACCCCCAGCAATTTCACATTCCGGCAGCCATTGATGGCAATGTGGAACAATTGGCTATTTAATGAAGTCAACCCATTAATTGCTATATTATTTGAATTTGAAAGGACAAGTGACTGCACATACACATAAACAGGAAAGAAAGAAGATTAATCATTAGTAATGTGCCTTAATTATTGATCAGTGCATGCATGTGGGATACAAATTTTATGCTATGGTTTGACGTACTTAATTAATTAATTATTAAAACCTATAATTAGGACTTAAGCTAACGGTTGACCTTTGAAATCCTTAATAATTAATTTTTAACGTTGAAACTTACTGTAGCACCGCTAGGACAGTTCTTTCCGGATGCCTTGCAAGCCCATAAACCGGTACCTTGACCGTCGAGTATTCCACCAGAAATAGTAACACCATCAACATGCCTAAAGATGAGCCATTGTCCAGAATTACCAATAACCGCATAATTTGATGGAGCCACAAGGGTTCCATCTATACGAATCAAGATTGCTCTGTTCTTGCACGGACCCCGAAACTCCACATTTCGTAGATAGAACCTTCCCGGCGGTATATAAACAGTGACCGTCTTGCTTGAACCACAGGCTTGTGTCCATGCAGTAACGAAGGCTTTGGTTGAGTCAGTTTTGCCGTCTGGTTTCGCTCCATAATTCACCACATTATATTGTAAAGCAGTAGCTAAAGATAAGGTAAAGAGGATCATTAGAAGTGAAAGAAGCAAAGAAGAGCTATGCGTTTTCTCCATTTCTTTTCTTGTTCTTGTTGTTGGTTGATAAACGTATATGTTTTCTGTGTTTATGTGTATGTGTGTGAAAGAGAAAGAGAGGAAGTAATGGTGGAGCTGAAAGGTTTTGAGGGTATTTATAGGATATTCACTTCAGTTATTGGATTTTGATTCCATAAAAGTAAAGCAAAGGTATATTTATTTATTGGTTTATTGGTTGTTAATGGAATTAATTGTTTTTTGCTCTTCCTGAAAATACCCGTTTCTTGTAAGTTTGATAGCTTGTATTTATGATTTTTATAGTCTGCGCTTCCATGTGAAGGATGCTTATAGTAACATTTGGATAAAGCTGTTTTCACATTGTTAGGTCCATTCCAAATCTATAACTACTTTTTGGTTTTGTACTTTTTGTACAAAACAAATATCATATTATGTTAATATATTCAGAACAAGTTAGCAATTCTCCCTTTTCGTTTGGATTGAATTTCGAGCTATATCACTAAGGAAAAAAGATCACATATGTACATACATTACTGATGTTTGGGAATCATCTTGCTAGGAGAATAAAAAGTTTTTACATTCTACACCCTCAAAGGGATTAACATCTTTCGATTTTTCTAAAGAGAAAAAAAAAAAAAAAAAAAAAACCAAGAGAAAAAAGAATCACATATATGTACATACAAGTTACTGATGTTTGGAATCATCTGCTAGGAGAATAAAAAGTTTTTTACATTCTACAGCCCTCAAAGGATCTAAAATCTTTCGATTTTTCTAAAGAGAAAAAAAAAAGAAAAAAAAAAAAAAAAACCAGATTACCTAAAAACTCATAATATTTATATAAATGAGAAAATCTGATTAATTATGTTTCGAAAAAAAAAAAAAAAAAAAAAAAACAGATTACCTAAAACTACAATATTATAAAAGAGGAAAATCTATAGATTATGTTCTTGAATATATTTTATTATATATTGTGACTCAGTTAGCAATGCAAACTGAACATGTGAAAAGAGTTCTCAGGTTCGATCTCTACTAAACAACACACCTGCAAGGAGAGGCGAACAACCTTAACTGTTACTAAATCCCAAGCCAAATTAGGCGGTCTGTGATAACAAGATCCAGATACCGATTGTTTACACTAAAAAAAAAAAAATATAGCGAGTGCAAGCAAATTAAATTATATATAATATATAGTATAATGTATCTAATATGCATTCTATAAACAAGATAAATGCACGTAAATAGTTTTGCTTGAGATGGGATGGAAGTTTTATTGAGATTTGTTAATGAATGAAGAAAAGGAAAAAGCACAATGTTAACGTGACAAAGCAAACAATATCTTACCCAGCCATGAGCCATAATAATATTTGCCCTCATCATTTTCTTCTCTTGAGGTGTATTATCCGTATATTTATGCCATGTTCATGCATCTCTTTAATTGTTTTAAACGTAAGATAAACACCTTTTCACCAAATTTCTCTCGGCCTCAATTTTTTCTTTCTTTATTATTTTTTTCATTATTTTACTAACTTACATTAGAAGTCTTAAGTCCAAAGTTAATGAAAGATATATTTCCTAATGTTTCTCAAAACATTAAAATGAATTACCAAAAAAAAAAAAAAATGTCATGAGGAGGAGTAGCTTCAATCTCTAAAACGAAATTCGTCTCGTATCCAAAAATTGTGAGAATATCAAGAAAAAAAAAATTATCACATTCAAATAGACTTACGGTAGTTATTGAAATTAAAAACTCCATTTTATTTTATTAATCTACATTTGATATATTTAATAATATTTTAAAATTGAAAAGGCTTACTGTTCTCGATACGTGGATACACTATTTTAAATTAATGAAAAAATGGTTATAAAAAGAGTATTTTTAATTAGAAAATATCTATTTATACTCAGTATATGGGTCAAACTATATAGTAACACCAATTAAAAAATAATTCTTTAATTCAAACGAAAGTATTTCAAACTATTAACTAAGAAAAAAAATTTTTTTTTGAAAATTCTCTTTATTGATCGGCTAAATATATAAAAGGTATCATAGACTTAGTGTATGGAATCATCTACACATTAAATGTAGGTAACTCTTATCCTCAAAACCCCAGGAGCTGAATTAATTGTAAATTAATACTTCAATGAACGGCTGCTTACCGGCATATATCTCGACCATTACCGGAGACCATCTTGGATGCAGGACTGGATGCACACCGTACAAACGTTTGTCAGGTACAAAATACACCATGTCTGAAATAGCCGTACAATGAGTTAAAGCAAGCATGTCTGAAATCGCCCTCTCTCCAGAATTGCGACACCTCTTCAAATATAAAAATATATATATAAAAACAAACAGACAATGTTGGATTAATAACGAAATATAAAGTACATGGATTTCATACAATTCATGGAATATAGAACTTATGAAATGTGAAAACTGAAAACCAATCAGATTATATCATTTAGTTGAAAAACATAATTCATGAACTTGAATATTATGTTTTTGAAAAAAAATATTTAAATTTCATTATTAATAGAAAATGATGAATTAAATTTAGAGAATCTCATCTCTAGACGGGATTTCTCTCTTTTAAAATAATGAACTGAGAAAATGATAGAATTTAATTAATTTCATATACTTTGGCGTATTTTTCCCTTGTGAAATGGAAAAATGTACAAACTACTATTAAAGAAATATTGAAGAAAAAAAAAGGTAGATTAAAAAAATTATTGGGAACTGTAGCACAATAGTAGCACCAACGGTACGTATTGTGCTATACAATACTTGGTACATTTTGGTCAAAGGCAACCTTTTCAACATCATCACATGGAATTTTTCTCATATGGATAATTAACGAGTATTTCTAGCCGAAAATAATTCCTCACATGACTAACCAAACTCCTTTTTTTTTTTAAAAAAAAAAAATTTGTTTCCTTAATTATAATCCTTCTCTGAATTTCTGGTCATTGATAGTGACAATCATTGAATTTGCAATTGCACATGATCAGCCCACCATCCTAATATTAACTTTTCTATTTTTCTTCCAAGACTTATATTATTTTTCTAGTCAACAATTTGTTTTCTCCTTATAAGGTAATAAATTCTTATTAATTTTGCATGTAAAAAATGAAAAAATTGTACAATTTGTATTTAATGCTTTTCTTGCAGCCAAATTTTGGAATTCGGTCACTAATAATATTGGGCTTTTTGTCCTAAAAAATAGTTTAAAATAAAATAAAAAAATACTTCTAAATTTTTTACATTAATTTTAATTAGGGACAAGCGAGTCATCAAGTTCACTTTCAATATTTTTATAGACAATTGGATTCAACTTGTTTTCATGTTGAACCAAATCACGGTTTTGAGTTAGGGGTGAAAGCACTATAAAAAACCCGTTTAAATGTTCAGTTTTTAATTAATAATCCAAACAAAATTCTTATTGCATTAATGAAAAATTTTCAATTTTTTGAATAATTAATAATTGTTATAAATAATTTATTTATGCAAAATGTCCATAGTTTTGAATATTAATTATCATATTTGTGTTTTTATAACTTACAAATGTATATTTATGATCACGAACCTATAAATAGATGCATGTTATATAAAGAGATATACTTAAATACAAATGAAATTGGAGTTCTCTTTGAATTCTCTCCCAAATATTCTTTTTTTGTCTTCTCTCAATTTTCTTTCCATACTATTATAAAATTTCTCATATTAATCTTTTACGTACCGTAACGATTAAGTTTCTTATTTTTCGTTTTTTTATTTAAAAAGTAAATAAAACCTGTTTGTTTAAACTTTTTTTTTTCTTTGCTTTTGAGAAAACTGTTTTAAAAATAAAAAAAAATTTTATGAAACCACTAATAGTGGTTTACAAAATTGTGTTTTCTGTTTTTAATTTTTTAATTCAACAGTTCTTGTTTTTTTTTTTCATTTTTATAAGATTTATCCTCATCAAATTTTGTGTTCTTTATATTACATTATTTCTCTATTTTTCATTTTTATAAGATTTATCCTCATCAAATTGTTGTTGTTCTTATTATTACTATTATTTTCTCTATCTATATAAATCTAATGTCATTTATTTATCCAAAATATAAAATCATATATTTTTATCTTTATTCAAATTTTCAGCTTTTTTTTTTCTATCTCTTCTCTATTTAGTATTATTTTTTTACTTATTATTATTTTCTCTATTTATATAAATCTAATATCATTTCGTATTATTTATTTATGATAATATTTGGGTATATGTTTTTATTCAATATAATAATTAATAGTTACTGTAACATTGAAATTTTAAAATTAAATGGTAAAATATTTTTAATTATTCAATCTGAAACTTTGGATGTTTAGAAAACTCATTATTAACTAAAATCTTTAATGACTTCATAAGAGAGAGATTTGATAAATGGAAGAATTTTTCACATTGTGAACAAGAAAAAATAAAAATAAATTTTAGAAAAAAAAATAATTAAAAAAAAATAAGTAATCGAAAACTAAAAACTGTTTCATGTTTCTAATAAATAAAAAATTCAAAACAAATAACTATAACAAACGAGGCTTTAGTTTTATAACAATAGCGATATATAAATTTTTAGGTTTAAAATTTTCAATATTTTTTTTCCATTCATATTCACTTTATAAATTTGTATAGTATAAGAAAAATGATTTTTTTTGAAATTTTTATTAATGAATCTATCTATCTATAATTAATCTTGAAGCAAAAAATAAGTTAACGCGCTCTCTTCATTCAGTATTCATATTTCCTTTTTTTACAAATTAGACGGTACCTCGTGCTTAGTGCAAATGTATGGTATTTATATTTCATTTGAATCATAATATAGGTGTAATAAGAAAAATACAAATATTAATAATAACTATCATTTTTAAACAAAAATAAAAACAATAAAATGAACTATTTTAATAACTAATAATCTAACAATGTAGTTTTGGATATGTAAATTACTTTTTTTTTTTGAGAATATATATAGAATTTATTCAAATTTCATGACTCGAAAATCTAATTTTAAAAATTTCGAACAATAGTAATATAATGAAACATAATACACAATAAAAATATAAAATTATATTTTGAATTACAGAAAAGTAAAGTGAACTTGAAAATCGATGTGAGGTAAAAGACATGATAGATAAAGAAAAGAGAGAGAGGAGAAAAGCGAACGGAAGAAATACAAGAGTTTCATATATTCAAGCAAGACATAATCTATAGACATAAAAAAATGAAATGCGGAAAAATTAAAAGTGGAGAAATTATAAATTAAAATATTTATAGGGACTAATTTGTAAATAGATCATGAGAGAAGAGGAAGAGGTTTTAATTTTTAATTTTGTGAAGGCATATTTTTCTTTTTCTTGCTTGTTTTAGTGATATATATCTTAAAAAAGACACATTATTTTAATTTTTAATATAAAGAACACCAATAGCCATATAAAGACATATTCTATACTTAAAATTCATGAAAGCTAAATTCATAAAACGCCATAAATTAGAGGATAATGTTTGATGAGAGAAGATATAAATTTATGCGTTTTTTTTTTAACCTTTCAATTTTAAATCTCCTTAGTTTTATAAATTTTAATTGAATTTTATTATGCATATAAATCTCTTTATATTTATATGTTATAAATCCGAAACACAATAAATAAAATTTTCCCAATTGATGCACAAATCGTCATCAATTTAATTAAATAAGATAAAAAATAAAAAAGAATAAGGCATTCGCAACGTGTAATGCATAAATCATCATGAATTAATTTCTTTAAAAAAACATGAAAAATTTTACAAATTTTGAAATCTTTAATTATCTATATGTATTTATTTTAAAAAAATAATTTTTATAAATTATATCCAATCAAATAAATAAAATATAATTTTCTAATTAATTATAATTAAAGTTATTTTAGGATATTTCAATCTTCATAAATGACACTATCGAAAATCCCATCATTCTCTTTATTTTCACATTTATATATAATATTTATTATTATATTATAGACTATAGAATTATGGATAGATTTATAATGAGAAGACATCTAGCCAAGACTAGTAAATTCATAATGGGAAAATAATTTCCATTTATGACTTGATTCTAAAAGTTAAACCCTGATTAACAAAACGAGAAGTAAATCTATTTGATAACTCAGGTAATTCTAATAAAAATTATATATTTATATAGATAGATGTTCGGTAGATAAAATTAAAGGTGTTATAAAATTTTTTTGCGTAAATCTATGGATCACGACTCTTTCTTTCTAAAGCAATAATTCTTGTTCAGATGCCCAACATAATGTAACTAATAATAGTGTACTAAGACAAGCAAAGGAAAGCACTTTAAAAAATTGTAACTGTAGCAATTAATAAAAGGAAGAATTGGCAAACATGGAATGACAGGGCCAGCCCCTTTCTTCTCCGTTTTCTACTCCACCTGTCACGATCTCTTTCCAAGTTCCTGAAATTTACACCCCCCATTTATACCATAAAGGCAAAAACTTTTTGAAAAAAATCTTTTTGATAGGCAATTAATTTTTTTTCCTTCTTTTACCATTAATTTTTTAATTGAAAAAAAAAAAAAAAAAAGAAAAGGATTCTGGATTGTCACCGCAGCTAACCCCTTAACGAATAAACATCATTCAGCTGCATCGGTGTGTGCATGTTTTCTGTTTGATGTATGACTCAAGTTAGCTGCTGTGCAAGTTTTATTGATTATTTAGCAACCAAATTAAGTACGCCCTAATGATAAATTCAAAATCGAATTCTCCTTCTCCAATACTAAAAAAAAAAAAAAAAAAAAAAAAAAAAAAAAAAAAAAAAAAAAAAAAAAGTCTAATGATATTTTGTTTTTATTTTACTGTTTTACCCTTTGTTCATGGTTAATGCAAATATAACTTACCTATTATGTGTAATATAGCATGTAAGAATAATGGTTAGAATTTGAATAATTAGAAATACCTTCATTTAAATAAATAATTTTTATTTAATTATTTTACTATATAGATAGGGATAACCAACGAGGTAGGTAAGTTGTTCCGAGTTGATGTAATCCAAAAAATTTCAATTATGATTTTTTTTTTTAATCTAAATGCCATGAAACATGAATATTTTAATTTTAAAACCACCCCTTACTGTAATTGTAAATTTGTAAATATGGAGCTTTAGCTCCCTTCTTACCAAAAAGGAAGAAAAGAAATCATCCCTCCACGTAACTGTTCAAATATGATAATTAATAATACATATATAAATGAAAATTTGGCTCCAATTAATGGAAAACAACAATTAAAGGCCAAACAACTAAGCAACTGCAATTAGGTTACCATTTTGACTATAGTCATTTTAGAATTGAAATATTTAGAATTAAAACCCTCAATATATAAGGAAAGAAAATATCAAAACAAATTTTCATGCAATTAATTTTCAATTATTTTTTTACTTAAAATTACAAAGAAAAGATAATCAATGATGTTATGAAGAGTATTTGATAAATTTCCAAACTGTAATAATCATTTCTTTTTTTTTTTTTTTATTACATCATCCTGAATGTTTCGTAACTTATTTTTGATTAATTTAGTATATAGAGTGGGCTCATATAATGTGTATAGATAAGTGTTTCTTCCTTTTTCACAGTCCTATGAATATTACATAATATAAAGGATTCTTACATCTACAACAAAGCAAACATAACTCCGTCTCAGTCTCTTTCTCTCCTCTGTTGCTATATATCAACCAAAAATATATAAAAATGGCAAATTTTATTCATGCACTTGTTTTTCTTTCCTTTGCCTCGTATAATTTCTGGTTAGCCACGGCAAGGGGCGCACACTACAATGTAGTAAATTACGGTGCAAAACCAGACGGCAGGACAGATTCGAGCAACGCCTTTCTTGCGGCTTGGAAAGAAGCATGTGCCTTTGCAGGATCAATCGAAATTTATGTTCCTAAAGGGAGATTTGCCATAAGCAAGGCAGTAGCATTCACGGGTCCTTGCAAGAACAATGCTACTTTGTTTCGCATTGATGGTACACTTTTGGCTCCTTCAGATTATGAAGTGATTGGTAATTCAGGGACTTGGATAATATTTTTCAACAAGTTACTGGTGTTAGAATCGTTGGTGGGGTTCTTGATGGACAAGGCGCCGGATTGTGGTCTTGTAAAACCTCAGGCAAGAACTGTCCTACTGGTGCAACGGTAAGCTGTTCATCTGATTAATTTAGACTTTGAAGAATAGCTATTCATGTAATTTTGAAGCTTTATATTCTGAAATTCTCACTGCGAAATGGTAAACATGTATAAATATATAAGTCATACCATTTCAGACATCCAGTTTTAGCAACACACACCATTTCAATTTCTGTTTGTATATTCTGACATTTTATGATTGATTTGGAAGTGCAGTCACTTGAATTTACAAATTCAAACAACATTGGAATAAGAAGATTGGTATCACTAAATAGCCAAATGTTCCACATTGTGATCAACGAATGCCAAAATGTCAATGTGAAAGGAGTGAAAATTATAGCTCCCGGCAATAGCCCTAACACAGATGGAATTCACGTTGGAGGATCAACCCATGTCAACATTTTCAAAACTAAAATTGGAACTGGGGATGACTGTGTATCAATTGGTCCTGCCACTTCTAATTTGTGGGTTGAAAATGTTATATGTGGACCTGGCCATGGAATCAGGTAAACATAATTATTTTAGCACTTACAAATATATTGTTTTTTTTTTTTTTTTTTAAAGAAATCAAACTGAAAATTTCATATATGGAATACACATCAAATATATTTTTATAATTTTGTATATGAAGTCTGATAATAAATCATATATACAAAGAATAAAGAAACATAGTTTCAATTTGAAATATCTGATTAGATTAATAGAGCCTAATACATTTGCCATAAGTGATAGTTCGCTCCATTTAATAGCTATTCATGGCCACCACTGAACTCCGTGATCTTTCTACAAGTCTAATATAATTACTTTCAAATTTCTTCCTTTTATCAAATTTCTTCATTTTCACTTCTTTCTGCATAATTGCCCAAACAACAAAATGCGATAAACAAAATCATCAAAATATAGGCAGAATAAATAATACTATATGATTCGACTAAAGAGTCGAATTATAATTTTTCATTAAACCATAAATAATAATTTTTGAAACACTGAACTCTCCTAAAAATAACCCTTTATGACCTCCAATTAGTAAATTTAATAATTTTAACATATGTATCGATTCAGCATAGGAAGTTTAGGGAGGGATCTTGAAGAAAATGGAGTGCAGAACGTGACGGTTAGATCTAGTACAATTGTTGGTACCCAGAATGGAGTGAGAATCAAGACTTGGGGGAGAGAAAGCAATGGTTTTGCAAGGAACATTCATTTCCAAAACACCTGGTTTACCAAGGTTGTTCCTGGTCATGTAAGCTTCTAAATTAAGACAAAGCTCGTTTCTTTTAATCATATTCTCTATTTTTTCTGAAATTCAATTTTTGTTGGACAGAATTCTATTAGTGATGTCACCTACCAAGACATACGAGGATCATCAGCAACTGATATAGCAATGAAATTTGATTGCAGTAAAAAATATCCATGTCAAGGGATTAAATTACAAGATGTGAAGCTGAGTTGCAAGAATCAACAAAGTCGAGCATTATGTGCTCATGCTGCTGGAATTGCTTCTGGTTTTGTTGAGCCTAAAAGTTGTTTGTAGTTGTTAGAATAACGATCACACAGTAACATATTTATAAAACTGTTCAGCCCTCCACGCCCAGGTATGAACATCTGGAACGTGAAGTTTGCAGACAAATGTATCTGCAGTGAGGTGATCGAATATTGAAGTAGGATAGATTTTTGATACTATGTCAATAAAATGGATTGGACCTAACTTACTTTCCAAAAACTAATTAAAAAGGATTGTCCAAGCCTTACATGTTGAGACTTTAACCAAACCAACATGCGGTAAAAGTTAAAGTAACTTTACAGAAAGTTTTATTAAAAAAACTGATTTTTTAAAGTGCTTTTAAGGTTTATCGATTCACATTTGGTGACTTCATCCATGATAATCGTAACTTGTAGAAAGTATTATGAATGCTATTAGTTTAAATTTATCGACTTTATGTATCAATATCAACTGCACAATAAGATATGTAACTTAATTTACATAATTTTCTCAAGTCAAACATCTATTTTCCTCATTTTATAGTGTCTAAACACAATTTTCATACTTAATAATTTCTTAAAGTATTCATAATTCTACAATTAGGATGATTTTACCTTAAAGAGCCCATTTGGAACAAATGAATTCGATAAAATTTGTGGAATTCGTTTTGAAATCCAAAATGTTGTGTTTCAAATGCAAAAAAATATAGATTTAAATTCTAAGAATTGAATTCTATAGAATTGGGTATGCCTAACTCAAATTTTAGTAAAATTGATGGAATTTATAAATGAATTCCATAAAATTGACAATTGAAATGTTTATTGATAAAATTACCCTCCACTACAAACTCAACTATTTTTATATTTTTTTTTCCTTTGTATTTATTTTCTTTGAAAAGTTCCAAACTATAACAACGTTATATTTTTTAGTCCAATAATGACATTAGTTTTTATTTTTACATTTTTCCTTTTTTGTTTTTTTTTTTTTTTTTTTTTTTTTTTTTTGGAAAATTTGAAACCAGTAATGACTCTTTTTGAAGCCTAGTAATACTGTTAGTTATTATTACTATGAAACTGTAAAAACTTCAATAATTGTTTTCAAATGCAATTAGAAACAATAGTAACATTCTTAATTTTTTTAGTTTCCAAATTAATTACTTGAATCAATAAAATTTTTTACATCAATTAAAAATAATTATTATGATGAATGTTACTGCTTATGAAATATATTAATTAGCATAAAAAATTAGTGTACTTCTTTATATGAAATTTATTATTTAGATTTTAATAAAAAATGACAAGTTATTATATTGTACATAATAAATATAATTGGTATTTGTTATATAATTGGTATTTGTTATCTTTTTTGGTTAAATTATTATGTCAAGGGTATTATAAGACAAATAAATTTTCATTTAAAATTTATTCCAAATATAATTTTATGGAATTCAATTAAATTCTTTATTTTAAATTGTAGCATACCAAACATGATAAATTCATTTGTAAATGAATCCTTATAAATGAATTCAACAACCATGATTCATTTGTTCCAAATGTTCTATAAATCTTACAAATTAAATAGCTTCTAAAATAATAAAATACATAAAAATATTATTTATGAGACTGGAGAGGGAATGAAGGGAATAGTTAATGAGTAATTAATTAAGATCGGGAAAGATTATGAGATCCAATAAGTAAAATCAGAAAAATCCAGATATTTTGTCATAAAAGCAATATTGTCAGAACCGAACCGGCGATATTGATTGGGTCAAGGTCTATTTTTTTTTAATTTTTAATATATATATATAAAATGTAACAAAATTATTTTCACAATAGTTAATTTATATAATATATCATTCTCATCAAATAATATATAAATATAAAATTTTTAACTAATAAATTTCCACATTTACAACCAATACAACATTCATAAATTCAAATTAAATTGTTCAAGTTGAAAGCTCACCCAAACCAACAGCACTTTTTTTTTTTAAAAGAACAACGTATTGTTATAAAAAAATTCGATTTTTCCGATCTTTATCAGTGGTCCAACCTGGTTTTATACAAAAATCCCTTCTTCTTTTTTTTTTTTTTTTTTTTTTTTTTTTTTTTTTTAAGTTCATTTTTTTTTTTTTTTTTTTTTTTTTTAAGTTCAAGTCAACATTATAATACTCAAACTAGATTGCCAGCCGATTTTCAATTTAAGGGATCCAACAAGCTAGTCTCTTCCAATTTAAATAACATAAAAAAAGGAAAAATAAAATGCTAAATAAAGAAAGCGTTGAAAATTCTTTTTATTTCGGCTTTCATGTATAGGTAATTTAACATGCAAGACAGACAACTAAATTGCAACCTAAATAACAATATGCAAGCTTTATCATGATCATTAAACTATCAAATTAAAACCACGTGGTAAACAGAATAGTTTAACAACAATTATATATGAAGCATTAATTATGCATAATTGGCCGCCAATACAATGAGTAAAATTATATCTACGTATTTGTATACTTATATAAATATTTTTAGATAATTAGGAAGGGTCGTTGAATCAGAATTAATTGTCACGTTATATATGTACTTATTATTGAATTATATCTTAGTATGCAAATTAATCAGATTTAATTAGAGAAAAATATTTTTCATAATTATATAGTGAATTTTTAATTTGGATTTGTAGGAGTATTAATTTATTTTTGAATTTTTATAATTTTATTATTAACTCGATCTCAAAGTAAAAATAATTTTGAATACGTTTATAGCATGAATTCAAAATATTTACTTTGTTAATTTATTTTATATTCTTGAGCACAAATTAAATTCTGTATTCTATATCTAAAATATTTTACTTTATCAATTGTTTCATTTCACTCGCATATATTTCCCTCAACTTTTCATATTAGATAATTCAATTTAATTTTTCAATTGAAATTATATTGAATATAAAAGTACAAAAGTTAAGAAGTTGTTTTATGAAGTTAATTGGGCAATAGTTTCTAACTCATCGAATTAGTAAAAATTAATTTTATAGTTAAAAGAATTCAAACACGAAACTTGTTACTCTTACATTTTTATAAAGGTTCAATGCATAAATTCATCCTTATACTTTACGTGAAAAATCTTGTGGCTCTCAGCGAAATTTGAGGTGCCACAAGATTTTATAGCAAAGCAGAGGCATAAATTTATGCATTTGAACTTTTTATAAAGAATGAGAACACAAACGCTCAATTAATGCTATGAATTATCTTTTATTACCTTTAACTTTTTTTTTTTTTTTTTTTTTTTTTTTTTTTTTTTTTTTTTTTTTTTTTTTTTTTTTTTTTTTTGTTTTGGGTTTGGAATGGACCTTTTAACTCTTCTAATCATTCTTTTCTATTTATATTCTCTAATCATTGTAAGATTCAATCTTTCCATATACAAAAAAAAAAAAAAAAAGAAAAAAAAAAAAAAAAAAGAACAAGTTGCTTGTACTCGTTTTAGTTACGTCTTAATTGGATTTCCTAGAACCAAGGTACAAGTTATGTATATTTTTCTTTTATGGAGAAAACGATCTACACGTTTTAACTACTAATTAATCCTAATTGTTTTAGGTTTTAATTTTATATATTATATTATTTATTTCATGTAAAATGACAATGAAGTAACCAATAAATAAATAAATAAATAACACACATAGCTAAGTTTTTCCCTATAAATACTATTACATCCAAATGATTCTAATGTATAAACATCAACAGTATTCTCTCTCATACCAATCATAATAAAAGAATAATGGCATATATTCATCTAGTTCATGTCTTTATCTTCATTTCCCTTACCTCATACTCAGCCATGGCAGCTACACAATCGTACAATGTGATAACTTATGGGGCCAAACCTGATGGCAGAACAAATTCTGCTCAAGCCTTTATTTCTGCTTGGTCACAGGCCTGTGAGTCTAAAGAACCAGCCACCATACATATTCCTAAAGGGAAGTATTTGTTAACCAAATTGGTATTCCGAGGTCCATGCAAGAACAACGCTATTGTATTTGTCATAGATGGTACTCTTTTGGCTCCTTCAGATTACAGGATTATAGCCAACGCTGAGGACTGGATAGAACTTGAACATGTCAGTAATGTTTCAGTTTTTGGTGGCATTCTCGATGCAAATGGCTCTCAATTGTGGTCTTGCAAGAATTCTGGCAAAAATTGCCTCTCTGGTGCAACGGTAAGTTGGTTAATAATCATGCATGTCACACAAATATTAACGGAAGAATGCTCAATTTACTTACTCACAATGTTAAAATTTAACTAAGGTTGAGTTTTCGTATCGATTTTAACATGAACTTTCAACCAGAAAATCATTTTGGCCCATTTTTGCCGTCAATGCTCGTGATGGCCCATCAATAAAAAACCAATGACCTATTTTTCTCAGCTAGAAAAAGATATATGTTCTCACTCTGCGACCTTGTCATTGTATTTGTTTACATGTGAAATGTGAATTGATCTTTGTTTACATGTGCAGTCACTTAAATTTACAAATTCAAACAACATTTTAATCAAGGGATTAACATCACTAAATAGCCAAAAGATTCACATTGTCATCTTTGAATGCCAAAACGTCAAATTGCAAGGCTTAAATATCTCGGCGTCCGGTGAGAGCCCTAACACAGATGGCATTCATGTTCAAGGATCGAGTGGTGTCACTATACTCAATTCTACAATTGGGACAGGTGATGATTGTGTATCGGTTGGTCCTGCCACCTCTAATTTATGGGTTCAAAATGTTGTTTGTGGACCTGGCCATGGAATCAGGTAATTAAAAACAAAAGTTTATTAGTTGAATTTATACAAAGTTTAGCTAAATATTTAATTTTAATTTTTAATAATATAAATCGAGTCAAGCCTGAATATTTCGATTATTTAATAAATGGTGTCATGAATATGAAAATAAATTTGAAAAAAATTAAAATTGAGTTTTAACTCTTGAATTTTTTTTTAGTTAACTCCAGTTTGGTTAATGCAGCATCGGAAGTTTAGGCAATGACCTTCAAGAAAATGGGGTGCAAAATAAAATTGAGTTTTAACTCTTGAATTTTTTTTTAGTTAACTCCAGTTTGGTTAATGCAGCATCGGAAGTTTAGGCAATGACCTTCAAGAAAATGGGGTGCAAAATGTAACAATCACAAGCTGTACATTAAGTGGTACTGCTAATGGAGTGAGAATAAAGACTTGGGGAAGACGAAGCAATAGTTTTGCTGGAAATATTCTTTTTCAGCATATTCTGATGAATAATGTTCAAAATCCAATTGTGATTCATCAAAATTATTGTCCTCATCACAACTGCCCTAATCAGGTAGACTAAATTATTAAATTAATATTAATTTTTTATTACAATTGAATTATTGAATTTGTGCACTCTAATGCAAGTTCATTCTAAGAAATTATCCCCTTCAAGGAATTCCTGCACACTAATGTATAGTTTAGTGGTTAGGACATGTTCGGTAAAATTAGCTATTAATTTTTTTAGTAGCATTTAGCGATTTGAGCAGCTTTTCATAAAATGCCAAAAGTTAAATATTAATTTTAAAATTAAACGTTATAGGTTAACTTTTTATAAAAGTTAAGTTATCTAAAAACTATTTTAAACTCTAGTGTTTTGAAATACAGTTCTAATGGTAAGTGTACGTATGACCCAATAGACTGAGGGTCGAGTCCCCTCCTGCAATACTAAAAAATTCGTAAATGTTGTTAATTATTGTTTTCAGTAGCACAAGTATAACATGATATTAAATTAATACATTAAACCTATATTTAATATAAAGATACTCTACCGGCAATCTATTTTTAAGAGCGTTGAAATACTTGTTTTAATATTTAAGCTAACTTTAATTTGTTTCTAATAAATTTTGAAATCAACAGGATTCTGGAGTAAAAATTAGTAACGTGACCTACCAAGATATTCATGGATCATCAGCAACAAAAGTAGCAGTAAAACTTGATTGCAGTAAAAGTAATCCATGCAATGGAATTAAACTAGAAGGTGTAAATCTGACATACAAAAATAAACCAGTGAAAGCATCGTGTATCAATACAGGTGGAACTTGTTTGTAAGTGGGAAAGTAATTAGCAAAATTACTATGTACTTAAATATATTAGTCTAATTGAATGGAATTTGTAATTGCTTGATCAAATTTATAGTTACTTGGATCCCCAATTTATGGTTTTCTGGAAAAAGGTAATAAAAGAGATTATCCAGCAGCATGCTGTTTGGATTTTCATATCCTAAATCTTCAAAGGATTATATTTTTTGAAAAACACATTTGACCTAAATTAGGTAACACATCATTTTTATTATAGTGGCTCAAAATGTTTAAAACGCTCCTGTATATGTATTGCTGGCAAAATCTGCTGCATTTGAGAGCATTATGGACATTTGGACTTGCTTTAGTAAATTGTGTCAAGACGATCCTATATTTTTATATCTTTCATTTTTAATCAAAACCAAGAAAACAAAATTCTTTTTACCAAAATAATAATAATAATAATAATTGCTTACACCCTGTGACTATGTTTAGTTTAGAGTAGGAAATTGAGTAAGTAATAGCAAATGAAATGGAATATGAAATAGAATTTTTATTCCTATGTTTAGTATGCACCCTAGAATAAAAATTTGGATTGTATTCATGAGTTTTAGTTGATAGAAATAATGAAAAGAATTGAATAGGAAATGAGTTTAAAGGCTAAAATACTCGTATCAATGTATTTACAATAAATTAATTTATCCAATTAATAATTTTGTTAAATAAGATTTATTCTTTAAGATAATCATATGATTAGCTTAAATATTTGCAAATAAAAAATTAATTTTCAATCTATAATTTTTATTCCTAATAAATTTTCCAAAAAAAAGTAATATTCATATGAGTGAAATATTTTGGCAAAATTAATGAGGTAAATTCATTACTTTAATTCACGGGTATATAATATTTTATAAAACAAAAGCAACAAATAATATTCGGTTCAAGGTCATATATGATATTCTACAAAAATTGGCTGAATGCATAATTTAGTCTTTGAAATTTAACAAGAAATATTGTGGTACCGTGAACTTTAAAATCGGCCCTGTGACATTCTCAACTTCTCTTTTTATAATAATCTCACACCTCGTCACATTAGAAATAACAAATTTTCAAAGTCTTTCCTTTTATATGCAAAATATTGGTTTGATATATGATTAATACAACATTTAAAACAACAATTTTCACAGTCTTTAACTATCCAATATAGGTGCAATTTTATAAATTAATTAAATAACCTGTTGAGGGTGCCACAGGTTTTACAAAGGTGAATTTATGTATTGAGCCGATAAAAATTACATCCAATAATAACATTCAAAACAAGCGCATATATGATATTTTATAAAATAACTAAGGATAGTTATGGCGCCAAAGGTTTGCAAATAATTTTTCGACAAATCAGCGAAGAATTATCGATAAGCATGTCAAATTTAACAATATCAACGAATAAATTTAACAATAAATACGAATTTTTTTAGTAAAAAGCATGTCATAGATAAGCACCTGTTTTGACAACTTGTTGTCAAATTATCGATAAATCAGCGAGAAATTACTTATAAAATATCAACGAATTACTGAAATAATTTCGATTTTGGTTTATTTTTTATTTTTAATGTGAAAAAATTGTTATGAGCTACATTATTATGATAGTTCTTCCTTTCTTTCTTTTTTTCTTATCCTTTTTTGCATTCAAAATTTAATTAGGAAAATTCTAAAAAATTTTATAGAATAATTTTTTAATTTAATACATCTTTTATCTTTATTCATCAAATTATTCATTTAGGGCCTATTGTAGTAGTTATTAACTGTTCTACTAGCCGTTAACTATTAGCTTTTATTGATAGTTGTTTCTATAGCTACTTAAATTAAAAGTGTTCGGTAAAAATAATTCTTTAACTTAAAATGATAAAAAATGATATTAGTTGTTTAACTAGTTCAATTCGATGAAATAAAATAATGAGTATGATTGTCAAAAAAAAAAAATAATCATCCTATGTGAATGCTAAACATGAGGCTATTTCATATTTGATAAAAAAAACTCTCTAAACCTCTAAAATACATTATGTTTAGTATGATAGTGAATATATAGAGTTTTGATTTAATTCAAAATGCTAAAAACTAGCTCAAAGGTCATTTCTGATCTCTAGATTGATTTATTAAATGTAGAGAAATCATTTTAAAATATTACCAAAATCTATATAATCCCATTGCATTCTTAAATTATAATTATATTTGCTTGCTCCATAAGTGAGTGTATAATAATTTTGTTCAAAAAAATAAAGATACGTATCATCATATTTTTATTTCTCTTTAAATCTATAATATGTAATAATTAATAATTAACGACGTATGTAAAAGTGGAAATGAGTAAAGAAATATTAGGATTGTCGAAAACGTCCCTATTAAATTTATGGATTGACAAAAATATAATTAAAGATTTAATTTGATTAGTTAAAAAATAAAACTAATTTAATTTAGATTGGTCATATTCAGTGGTAGGTCTATGAGGTAAAAAGATGGGTCAATTTTTTAGCATTTTTCAAATAAATATATGTAATTTGTCTAAAATAATCTATAAAATTTAATTTGTTTATTTTTTTATCCTTCTTCTTTAAAAAGATTATATACTAATCTCGGACAGATATTTTTAGATCCGCTACTGGTTATATTAATTTTTCTTTAAATCTAAATTTTATTTGATAAAATAAATAATTATATTATATATTAACCTGTTCGAGCGTTTTTATAACTGAAACCACTGGTTTTGAAATCGAAATCATATATATTAATATTAAATAAACTATATAATGTATATACTAAATATGACAATATATATGTTGTATGGTAATATACTATAATATGGTGATATATACATATTATATGGTAATATTATTTGATGGATACTAAATAAGGTAAGACCATATCAACAAATCGTCCATCTTGCAAATAAGGCATGTCTGTGTCTAGGTAAAATTTTTAAAATAATGTATTTATTTCTATATCTTTCAGCTACTTTATTACTCAATTTGATTTCATGTTTCTACATATATTAAATATGGTAAGAATGTATCTTTATGGATTTCAACATGTTGAAAGAAATTTTTTTTTCCTAAAAAAAAAACTATAAAATTAATTATAAACTCATGGACCATAACAAAAAGTAAAAAGGAAAAGAAAACGATCGAAATTATAAATAATAGGGAAAAGAAGAACGATCGAAGATTATAAATAATATTTCAAAATAATTGATTAAAATTATTAATTATTATAATAACTATATATCTTTAATGTGTAATAACTATAATGTAAATTCATGAAGATCCTAAAAGTCAAAGCAAATCAATGTTCACTTCAAGACATTTTATTTTTTATTTCATTAGTTGGAGTCATTTTTTTTTCATGCTTTTAATTTTTATATATAAATTTGTTCTAATATTATAAAATAGATGATAAAATTACATGTAAAAATGAAAATACTTTCATTTACTTCATTTTACAACAATGCTAAAAATTAACCGAGTATTAACGTTTGAAAAGCTAGTAAAATAATGAAAAATGAACAAAAGTGATAATTAAAATTTTTCTTTTGTAAAACTTATAGCTAAGATTATAAAACTTGTTTCAATTTAATTATTAAAAAAACATGTTGAATACTATTAAAAAACATGGTTAATTACCAATGTTGCGGCTCTTTGCGATTTCTTCTCCGCTTTTCCTCTCCCACCTTTTCACGTTCTAGTACTAGTTAGCATTTTTCTTCTTTTTCTGGGAAAACACGTTCTGCTTATGGTGCTACACCCACGAAGGCAGTCTGCTATCCAAATTAAAAACATGTTAGTTCAAAATTTACGAACCGTACATAATTATTCTTAAATGATTGTGGATTATTTTTCATTGCCCAACAAAGAAAAATGTGTTTATATATAACAAAGACTATTTTTTTAAACTTTTCTCAACATGATTTTGGTTTATTTAGAGGTAAGACAATAGTAATTGCATTATATAAATCTATGTGATTTAATAAAACATTTTTTTTATCGGAAAATAATATTTCATTTTATTTATTAATTAGAGTTGGGAGAAAAAAGTTAATATAATTGAGAGTCAAAAAGGCTTTCTCTATATAAATTCCACAAATCCACAAATCATACCATTTGAAAAAAAAAAAAATCTGTTCAAAATACAAACCCTAATTGTGACTAACAAACTTTTTTATTCAATAATATTAAAGTAATTTAAAAAAAATTTATAAGATTTTGCCGAATTAAAACAGTGGTCAAAGCATGGATGACGGTTCAAAAATTTATAAATCCGATTGTATTTTATACATCAAACCTTAAAATCATATATTTGCCATGACAAAAAAAAACTCCACAACGGAAAAACTTACCTTAGACCGGGTGTACGACCAAGTTATAGACCAAATTAATAAAATTAAAGATTTTATTTTGAAAACAAAAGTATATCTGATTGTACAGTTTGGAAAGTTTAAAGGATTAAGCGTCTAAATACTTTTTAAAGAATCCTTAGATTTAACTTCGTGAACTGCGAAAAAACACTGTTCAAGTTTTGGCGCCGTTGCCGGGGAATGACGTTACCCAATATCAATAGCGAATTATCCTATTATTAATTTTAGACATTTGTTTTTCTTTATTGTATTTAATTTTTCCGGAGGATTATTTTCAGGTTGTTTATTGCAAAAGAAGATCAGGTAGAACTGAGCCCTTAATCTTTGGATCCAGAGAAGTCAGAAAAGACTTGTCGATTAGGAAACAACGCTGCTTAGAAGAGCATGTGGAAAACAAACCAGAACAGCAAGCAAAACGGATGGATGATGAATTAATCTCAAGTGTCAGGACAGACCTCAACCTCATGTCCGCACCTTTCGAGATTACATGTAGCACCTTCTCTCAATGGAACACCTCGAGTATCACTAGGACTAGGGTGGAAGCAACAATTTTTGAAATTAACATTGGCAATTATTCAAATGCTTTCCACCTCAAATTTTAATATGGAGGTTTACCTAGGTGAAGATCCTAATTGCTCATATCACAGAATTTCCTGGAGATTTGCGATTACTTTTAAACAAAATTGGAGTTTCTGAGGATGCCATAAAATTAAGACTCTTTTCTTTCACTCTTTGGGACAAGGCACGATCCTGGTTACAAATCATTGCCCTGTTGGAAGTTTTACAACATGGGAG